GAAATTTGAATAACAAAACTTAATTGTTATTCGAATAACAGGGACATAGTTAATGGTATTATTAGCGGATTGTTATAGTTAAAACAATAAATAGTTGTTAGTAATACTATTCATGATTATTGTGCCAACAATGTTTCAGGGTTACATGTTTAACTAGTGAGACATAGTAGAATTAGTAAAATTATATTCGTATTGACTATAAAAATAGTAAAATTAAATATTTTTTGTAGTCAATGTGTTTACTTTTATAGTATAGTAAACCATGATTTTTTCTCTTAGTGCATGATTGGCGTTGACGAAATGGCTCTTGTACCTGGTGAACAACCTGATCCTTGTACCAATTCCATTGTAGGAAATTGTACTATTCCCAATAGTTGTGGTAACTCTTATACAATTTTATTATTGTGACGTTTTGCACAGGAAGTTTCATGTATTTTGCTTATCTTAATATCTGTTATTATTAATATCGAAAAAACTATGGTAACAAAAATATCAAGCATATATCAAAGAAGAAATACTAATAATGTCTGATTCTATCTGCTGTGGTTAATTTAACAGTAATTATTTCATCGGAATTGATAAATTGCATCTGTCATTAATCAGAATTAAATCCGATTGGTCAATTTCGATGGAATAACCAGCGGTTATTAAATTAACCAAATTTGATAGAAAATCTTGCATAACCAAGATAAACAAAACATTCTTATGGTTTCCACGTTCCTTAATGATTTATCCCATTACGTACATAATCATGATATATATTTTTATACATTTGTATAATAATGAATGAAATTTAATATTAGTTAATTAATTTAGCTTTAATATTAGTTATTAGAATTTATATTACAATGAATTTTTTTATACATTATACTTCCTTAAATTTACAATTTTCTTTTAATCATTTTATATATTATATATTACTATTATATATCATATATTATACATTATTATATATTATAATATATTATTTGAAAATATAATATACATGTTTGGTATATAATGCTGTTTTATACAATGTTTAAGGAGAAATAGTTCCAGCAACGCATGCTTTAGTATTCCTTCTTGGCGGCATCTTTTATCGATGGAAACAAATTGTAGCTTACGAATTAACACCTAACGGATTTGATGGAACCTGTTTGAAACATATTATCACTGAAATTATAGAAAAAGCTGAAAACATAGGTCTTCGTGTGCATAGTGTTACATCCGACATGGGAAGTATGAATCAAGCTATGTGGAGAGCTTTCTCTAACATTGGCGTACATCAACATTCAATAATACACAACTCTATACCTCATCCAATAGATTGTAATCGTAAATTATTTTTTTTGCTGATGGACCACATCTTATTAAAAATCTTAGAACCGCCATCATCAATAATAAACTTATAGCTTTACCAGATAATTTCGCTAAATCTCATCAACTCTCATCATGTATTGTTCAATTTTCACATTTAGAAGAACTAGTAAACGAGCAAGAAAATTTGGATATTAAACTTGCCCCTAAATTAAATAAAGATGTTATAACTTTAACTAAATTTAACAAAATGAGAGTACAGAAAGCAACGAATATGTTTAGTAAAGATGTATACGGTGGTCTACAGTTTTTAAGTGAAGAGCGAAATATTGAAGAATATTCAACATCAGCGAAATTTGTTGAAATTATTAGCAAATGGTTTAGTCTCATTACTTCACGTTACGCAGCTCTTGCTTTAGGCAAAAATCCTGCAAATGAAAAAAGTATTGAAACATATACAAAAACCGTTCAGTTTTTAGAATTTTGTATAGATTTATTTTGTAATATGCGAATTGGAAAAAAAAATATTCAAACCAGTACAAACTGGCCTCATGATAACAACAAAATCATATATAGAAATTACCGAGTATTTACTTGAAGAACGCGGTTTTTTATATGTGTTAGGAGGTCGTTTTTCCAATGATTTTGTTGAAAATCTATTTTCCAATATTAGAAAAAAATTTCCTACACCCAATGTACTGCAATTCAAATATAGTTTAAAATCTATTACTGTTTCTCAATATTTGCAAGATTTACCAAATACCAATTATGACATAGATACTGATGGTGACTTATTAGCTGACTTTATAAAACGTCCTAAAAAAGATAAGGTCAATAAACAACATGAAATACCTACAATACATCTCGAACCTGAAACCTGCGAATTATTACAATTAGATAATTTGCAATTAAATTCATTATACTACATATGTGGTTATATAATATCTAGTAGGGAAAAGCGGGGCTAGTTGTTACAAAAATACAAAAATTCAAATATCTTTAAAATCTTTAATCCCAACCAAACATAAAAATATGGAAACAAAACAGTCTATCTTTTTCTATTAATATAAGGTGTAACTTATATCTGATAATTATAATTAACAATAAAAAAAATGTTTTTAAGAAAGAAAAATATTGTAACAATGTGCCCCTAACGGGGGTAAGTTGTTACAGGGTTGGGGCAAAT